TGAGCTCCTGCTCCTCATCCCCGCTCCTCATAGCAAGGCAAGGACAGCCTCCCACGTGTCTTTCCGGCAGAATCCGCCTGTGGCTTGCCAGGCTGCCAGTACATTGTCCAGATTTAAAGATGGCCGCCGCGCTGTTGCTGAGCGGCGGCCATCTTAATGAGTAACCAACAGACTGCCAGTGACACTGTCACTGCAGCCTGTGCTGCCTGGCTGAGCCCACAGCTGATCCATCCAGCGCCCGCACGGAGGGGCGCCGCGCCCGCGGGCGCACAGTAAAGATGATCTCCGACTCCTGATTCCGCCTGTGGACTGGCCTGCCAGAGTGCCAGTACTTTGTCCAGTTTTAAAGATGGCCGCCGTGCTGTCGCGGCGGCCATCTTAATGAGTCATTCATAGACTGCCAGTGACACTGTCACTGCTGTGCTGCCTGGCTGAGCCGACAGGTAAACTGTCAAGCGCCCGCACGGAGGGGCGCCCGCGGGCATTTATTAATAAGTTTTTTTTACTGAATCTGTGCCGGTCGCCAGGCGCCCATGTTGCTATGGCGCCCTGTGCGACCGCACAGCCCGCACACCCCTAAGGCCGGCCCTGGTTCCACCAGAAACTGTATAAGAAGGGCTAGATGTTAAACGTTATTAATTAATACCCTATATAAAGGAATTAAAACAGCAAATACATTTCTAGATGAACTGGAGCCAAGTGTGGTCAAACATATGTTCATGTGTCGTTATTACATTTTATTTTGAGGGATAATGTGTTCCTGTTCAATGGGTCCTACTACCTGTAGATACAGGCATTGGTGATTGACACAACATGTGCCCCATCATATAACAACCTGTTATGGGAATGAGAAACCTTCACCTTGTTGAGGACTTGTTGATGCATGTACCTATGCCACATTTTGTCATGTCACAGGTACATCAGGAAAAAAGAGGAATTATTAAAAGAATTAGTTTTGCCATTCAATGAAATCAACAGGACTTTAGAATGTACTTGTGATGGACAAAAAGCCCATCCCATTCTTGAACATAAATATTTGCAAGAATGAAGCATATGGGCTATACATCAATTTACACAGAAAACACACTGCAGGAAACACCATTTCCAACCTAGACACCTGATGCAGCATAGCTTTGGGACAGTATCTCTGAGTTAGGACGAACTGTACAATGTCAGAGTGTAACACTAGCAAAGGTAATGGTTGCTACCCGTTATGAATCACAGCTGCGGACATGGATGCACATTCAATGGAAGCAGGGGTCTTCTGGGAAACTGCAGGTTTTAGGGAGTTGTGGATGATTCCCAATTAAATATAGTAGAAGTCTATAGTACTGTATGCTGGTGATGCAATGCCTTTGGGTAAGTAAAAATCAGAACAGTGGTACAGGTAATCTGTATTACATTATACAGTACTGTTTAATCCGTTTCAAGGAAGGTATAAATGAAATAACCAGGCTGACATGCATTACATGCATCACACTTTAGAAACGCATGTGCAGGAGGAAGTCGCATAAATAGATATATGTTGGAAACGGTATTACTTCATACAGGTAACGCAACATATTCCATGAGAAGCAGTCTAATACTCACTATACAGTAGTGAGTATCTTTCCTCTGACTCTCGGTGTCAGCGTGTTTTATTTCTTCACTGATAGTGTGCACACTTTGTACTGAATTAGGCCCAGGGACAGATATATGTCGGATTCTTGATGTCCGAGTCCACAACATGTAGTCCCACATATATGATACAAGCGTATATTTTTAACATGAGTCACTGTGATAAGCCTCTCAACGGTACTGGATAACTGATACTATGTGAATTCGACAGGCAAGTAAGCAGCTGCAGTGTTATTATACACAGAACTATAATTGCGATTAGCTGTAGATTTAGGTATCAGGTGACTGCTGCGAGGGGTTAAAGGAGAACTATGGGGCCAGGGCTTTTCCCGGTAGTTCTCCTAAGGGTAACGGGAGGACACAAACTAGCGTCCTCCCGTCAGCCAAACCTCAGTATACAGCGAGCTGCAGCTTGCAGTATACTGAGACGCCGCAGCTGAAACGATCCCGACAATTATGTCTGGATCCGCCCAGCTGCGTGAGTGACAGCTGGCTCTGCCAGCTGTACCTGCCCCCTCCCCCTCCGTTCCGCCAGTCAGCGCTGGAGGATCGGACAGGGGAGGGGGGAATCCAGTCCCTCCCCTGTCAGGGCTCTCTGCAATGACAGGATCGAGAGGTGAGCGAGCGCGGGTATGTGCTTGCTCACTTCCCGATCTACTGAGCCGACATGTGACAGTTTAATTGTCACAGGTCGGCTAGAACTATGAGGATGAGTGAAAATCACTCACCTCATAGTTCTCCTTTAAGTCCTTCAGAGCATGCAAGCCGAGGATGGATGAAGGTGATTCCCTGGAATCAGCAAGTCTAGTCACAAGTAGTTAATCCAGAGTGGGAGTCCAGGATGGCAGGCTATAAATCACAGTGGCTGCAGGCTTGGAAAGTATGTTAAACACACAATGGCTGTAAGTCAGGATGCAGAGTACAACCAGAAAGGCTGCATAACGGGACTGCAAGGAAGTCTCTTCAGCATGGAGAGCAGTGTGACAACATAGAGAGATTGCTCAGTGTCCACAACATTACCAGGACACTGAGCAACTTCAAATCTCGCTTTAAGCCGACAGTCAGCTGGAGGAAGGAGGAGCAGTGTGACGTTGTGGGAGAGGGTGGTGCCGAACCCCGTTCTCAGGGGGTGGCAAGATAAATTTGTTACACAGAGACTTCGAGAGACAAGCACATGACTTGAGATTAAGATTAGGAGCTAGGGGGTACTAGGACAAACAATTGATATAAATGTTTTTAAAAAAACATTCTCCATCTTAAAAAAAGAAACTCCTCAATCAGTCAAAAGATGGAAGAAAATAAGTTTTGAAATGATAAGGTTTAATTTTACGTGCTCAAGCTGGCATAAGGAATTGAACAGCATACTAAACAAAATTGCCATTTGCTGAGACTTAATGTTTCCATCTCTCAATATGTACTTATCATTCCACAAGATTATTATTATTATACAGGATTTATATAGCGCCAACAATTTGCACCGCACTTTGCAATATAGGGAAGACATTACAGTTACAATACAATTCAAGACAAGATGGTAAGGAGGGCCCTGCCCATGAGGGCTTACAATCTAAAAGGGAGGGGCAAGTGATACAAGAGGTGGTAGCTGTGTGGAAATTAATTGTTTGAGAACGTGATGGTTGAGTGGTTAGGTTGCGGTGGGATAGGATTGTCTTGAATTGTATTGCGATTGTAATGTCTTCCCTATATTGCAAAGTGCGGTGCAAACTGTTGCCGCTATATAAATCCTGTATAATAAAATTAATAATAAGCAACTAATTGCTTCAGCTGGGAATTCTCTCTCTCTCTATATATAATGTATGTATGTATGTACAGTATGTATGCATGTATGTATGTATGTTTATATATATTATATATACTTATATATATATACACACACACACACACAATACAAAGCCCATCCCATTTTAAATTATTTCAATGAATGTACCTTGTTTGTTTTGTTTTTGTAATATTTCTGTAAAGTTTATTAATTGAGTAGAGGTATTCCTTCCTGTATAGGGTGTGTTTAGGTGGAAACCTTACAATACTTTGATTTAAACTCCATTCCGGGCTAATTTTGAACATAAACAAAGACATAGACCCCTTTTACATGGGCTTTCCGAACAGGTCTGCCTGTCAGTTTTTCAGGCGGTGCTGATCGGAAAGCCCAATGTTAGTCTATGGGCAGCCAGATCTAAATGGATGGACAGATGTCCGTTTTGATCCAGTTATCCCCAGCTCTGGCTAGGACTGGAAAAACAAATGGATCAGAGGTCTGTTTTGTTGGACCTGATCGTGTCAGATCAGGGGTAACCAAATGTAAACAGATCCCAGTCCTTTTAGATCCGGCTGGCCATGAACATGGGTTCGTTAAAGTCAGATTTTTCCTACATTGCAATATGAAGGAATAAAAACTGCACAGACTTGGATGTCACAGCGGTGACATCTCTTCCGATCAGGAGGATCCCTTCCTGTCTGGACCGTATGAAAGGGGCCATTAATAAGACCACATTTTTAGCAGAATTAGGAGGATTACAACTTCTATGTTTTTAGAGTTCGATTTTCATGCTTTCCTCTTACAGTGACAACTGCACCCCCTCATTTCTTGTATAGGCATCAAACAGAAATTCTGGTAAAAATCTCACCAATAGGGTCAAAGACAGAAATAAAAAAAAAAACCCCAAAAACCTGAACTCAATTTTTATTCCTCCTATTCCATCCTAAATGATCTAAAGCCATTGGCTAGAGTTAGGCTTTTAATCAATTCAACTCTGACTGCTTTGTATATAGTAAGCTGCAGTATTAAAAAAAATGTTTTAGGGGCTAGGAATGCTTGTGTGCAGTATAATGGAAAGAGGTCATCAGGATTTACTCTGGGTATCACACTTGTCCAACAAAAACAAAAACACACGTCTAAGGGGGTTAGTCACAAAAGGGTGAAGGGTTTGGAGAAGGCCGGAGAAGTGAACAATTTAGGCCAAAATAGCCGATTTGGAAAAATTCTCCAATTCAGCTCACTTTCCAGTTCAGCTATGTTGTCCTAGATTGTTCACTTCTCCTGCCTTCTCCAAACCCTTCACCCTTTTGTGCATACAGTAATCCCCTAAATATGTCATGAAAAATGAGGTCAAACTATTACATCATACTACATTATAACATCATTATTATTTTATATACTATGAAATTTACTCTCAATAAAGGAATGCTTGCAGATTATTATTTTTTTCTTATGCCTTATAGATGATTTTGAAGAAAAAGAAGACAAATCTACTGACATCTTCGGTATTTTAATTTTCTTTTATTTGGATTACATGTGTCCTTTGCCACAGAGCAGTGCTTTTATAAAGTAGATACTGGATCCAGAAACTGAGTACTGGATACAGTACATTGGTTTTTGGGGTCCAGAACCTTTATGCTAACCACGCGCATAAGAATTATCATGCAAATTCAACTACAAACCAGCTTTTAAATGTTTAGATGGATCAAGGAAACAAACTGTTTTGACCATTTCATGGTTTAAGTAGAAACTGTTTGTTTTGGGATGGATTGATCAGTTTGTTCATATTTTAAATAGAAAGCTGATTGACAGTGGCTGAAGTTGCCCAAAAATCGCTGTGTATGACCACACTTAAAGTGTATGTAAACCTTAAAGCAGAACTCCAGGCAAAACATTTATTAACCCTTCCATTGTGGTTACCCCCACACTGCTCGTTTTGGTCTAGGGAGGAAAATAAAAAGTTATACTCACCCAATCCCCTGAGCTGGCTTGCACTTAAACCAGTCCTTCCAGGCTTACTCCCCCTCTGCTGCAGCGGTCTAAGGTCCCTGAGTCATCATGTTCTATACTCTGTGTATAGGACATGAGGATGCCGAGGGACATAGTTAGCGCTGTCACAGTGGATTGAGCAAGTATAATTGTATTTTCCTCACTAGACCAAAGTGAGCAGTTAACCTGTCGTCCTGTCCTAAGGTGATAACACTGCTCCTCCATAGATTTAGTACAGTGACTGAGCTTTAGGAATGAGGTCCAGAGTCGCGGCTACTCTGGGCTCATAAAAGTAAAAAATTTGAGGTTCTGTCAATTGTCAACGCAGGCAAGTTTTTTCAAGGCATAATGTATTGCTGCTCCGTTCCCTCCCTAGAAAAGGGGGGTACAGAGCAGCAATAGTGACTGCACTGAAGCTGCTGTAGAGAAATCTAAAAAACTGTACAGGGAGACATTAGGGTCAGTTACTTTACTTGAATTCTGACTGCTAGCTCTTTGAGCAATCAGCCTAATTGCTGCCTTTTATGTTCCCATTATTGGGGGATGTTTGGATTTAATTCAAGTTTGTGGTTGAATTGAGCTCTCTAGTCATGTTTAGCTGCTGGCCCATCTGTAGCATTTTCTTTGCATTCCCAAAAGTGACCTTTGTTTCAGGGGTGATAATTCACTTGATTCTGACCATCTGTACTTGGAGCTACCTTTTGTTCAAAGCACACTGCTCCGTCATTTAAAAGAAAGAAAACACTAAGTACAAGAACTGTAGCCCGTAATTTATAGAATCTGTGTATTTTCAATGTAGGCCTTGAAGCCGCATGAAAAGACCATCTGCCCATTCCCTGGTATTCTTTTGATTCAATTTTAGCATTGGCACATATTTTCCATGGCAGTGCCTAGCTTCCTGTCCATTTTGTTTGACAATAGCTTCCTTATTAGCACTAAAATTGGTTTGATTTGTATAACAAAATTCACCTCTCATAGATTTCAATGGGGTTGTGAACGTCAAGCCAAATTAGAGAAAAAATTCTAAAACCGAACCCAGGAAGATTTGCTCATCCATGGTGAGCATTGTCACCCTAGGGCAGGGTCAGCAGGTGAAAATAAAGGGAACAAAAAAGGAAACTAATACAGCCATTTGGTCTTAGACACCCATTACATTTCCCTTACACGTGCCCTCAATCTTAACCTAAAATGAACATTTAATCCAACCTCTTAATTTAACCCTTAGCAATTAAAGCAGGAATCTCTTTCTAGTTTTGGTTAGAGCAGCGAAAGGATAGAATTTAGCAGGTTTTTTTAGGTAAAAAATAATAGGTGCCTCCTGAAACAAGATTCTTGACTCAGTAAAGGAACACACATGGAACTCCCTGTTGTTTCTAACTCCCTTTTAATTATGAGTGATTTCAATTTCCCAATATGTCCTTTTGTTTTGACAGTATTCTGTAGTACTCCACCAAACATTCCACATGCAGAGCTTGATGAAGCTTCTCTTGGTCAGAGCCTCTTCTTTATCGAATCAATTGTTACTTACGAATGCAAAACCAATTATGTAAAAATTCCTGGCGCTGAAAGCAAGGCAATGTGCTTGAGCAATGGCACCTGGTCTCTTCCTGACACATTTTGTAAACTCAAGTGATATTACTGTTTTTTGAATAAGCTTTCTTTGTGCAGATGACATCAGCTCGGTATAATGATGAAACCCCTTTAAAGTGCGGTACAATTTTGTTTGTGAAAACATTTCATTCTAACCTAAGCTGCCCTGAACAAGTGTGCGATACGGGAATCGCAAGTGACACTGTTTGGATGACGCATTGCATAGGTGTGAATGGGGATGTTTTGATAATTTGTTGAATTTATTGTATTTACTACTGTACATATTTTTACAAAGCTTTTGTATTACAAAGCACTAGGGATGCACAGATACTACCAGGGTTGCAGCGGTTGCAGCTGGGACCTGGCTCTGGCACTCTACCACTGTCCTGAAACCATTAGTCTGTATTGATTTAGACAATAAACAAAAATGTATCAGTACTCGTACTCGTAAGTACTCGGCAAGTACCAGTACTCGTACTCGCAAAACTGGTATCTGTGCATCCCTTTATTTATATTTATAAAAAAAAATCGTACATTAAAACAGAGATGCACAAATCCCAGGAGCTCCGTGTGCTCCTTACAAATGACAGCCGCCTCCTAATTTTTGAATTTTTCTCTAGTCTAGTCTTGGAGCTCAAAGCATCGGTACTTGTACTTGTACAGAGTACTGTACTTGGTATCTGTGCAACCCTACAAAGCACCCAACACATTTTTTGTAACAACCTACTATTTCTTCTAAAACCAGTTCCTTATCTACACTTTACAGGTCTTAGACATAAATTTCTTTAATTGCAGATTAAACCTCTTTTCTTCCATTCACAAGGGATACCTTTAAGAGTTGTGATGATCATTAAGTAGACTGTGAATATTGTATATACTTGCAATGGTGCAGCACTATAAGTAATAAATACGTTCAAACTTAGCCCGATCTGACACTACAAAAAAAAAATATACCTCTGATTTGATCCAGTGCATTGTTCAAAAATACTACAAATACATTTAATATAATGTGATAAAAAAGTATACAAATAAACACACTACAGTGTGTGCGCTTCACAATTTTAATTGTACACATTTTTCAGGCTAGATATTTAGTTAGGGTGCTGGTTGCTGAGGTTCTTTAACATTAGCACAGAAGGTTTTTCCTTTAGTTTTATTATTATTAGCGAACTGTTCACTTACCTGTACATACGTACTGTGGCAGTGCATGGCAATGCCACGGTGGAGTATGGAAACTTTGGCGCCCAGGAATCTCAGCCAGAGGGGCTGTAAATGAAGTAACCTGACCAGAGGTTCAGTGAAGCAGTGCACAGAAAACTAAGGCTGCAGCCGTAATAAAACATAAAGGTAGTGCTAGACATACACTACTGTAGTTTCTCTGTCTCATTCAGCCCCATGGGCTATAGGAGTATTAAGAGATATATTAGTATCTGTTTGCATTTAATATTTTACGTACATATGTACAGGTAAGTGAACAGTTGATAAAACACGTATTCTGTAAAACTGGGATCATAAAAGTAATCTGTACATATAATAACACATTTTTATCTGTTACCAAAAATTATATATAGAAATGTATAAATATACAGATAAATATATATTAAATATTATATGTGATTTTAGCAAATTTCTGCAGTTCTCCGCCACGAATGGATTATGCACAACCTACAGATTCATCTCTGGCTCAGACTACATTCCCTAAGGGTTCAACAGTTACTTTCAGTTGCCGACCTGGATATACACGTAATCGTGGAAGTATAACTATTGCAACATGTCAGGATAATGGCACATGGTTACTTCCTAGAATAAATTGTCAACGTAAGTTTCATATTTAGTTTTTCTATAGTTAACAGGTGATGAAAATACATTTCAAATATGTTCTGTGCTGAAAAAAAAAACATCTCTGCTGTTTCCTCTCTTACAAAATCCTCAACAATATATTAAACAAAAGACACTGCACTATCTCTAATATTAAACTCTAAGTGCATAAACTTAGTGACAATTGTACAAAATGTTCACTCCAACTTATATATAGTCCATATAAAAATATTCCCAAAATTTATATGATCAAAAATAAATGTGATGAAATCCTTGTGTTCACTTTCTTTACATCAGTGAGTCAAATAATCATTGCATATAAAGTTCCGCAATCACTCGTGACTTCTGTGCGTCCATTCTTTTAACGAGGAATTGAAGCACAGAAGTCACGAGTGATTGTGGAACTTTATATGCAATGATTATTTGTCTCACTGATGTAAAGAAAGTGAACACGAGGATTTCATCACATTTATTTTTGATCATATCAATTTTGGGAATATTTTTATATAGACTATATATAAGTTGGAGTGAACATTTGGTAATGCACTTAGAGTTTAATATTAGAGATAGCGCAGTGTCTTTTGTTTAATATATTGTGGGAGAAGTTTATATAGCTTCTCTCTATCTCTGAAGCTGTCAACAGGGTGTTATTGAGGAGTTTGGGGTAGAGCACTATAGCGCGGATAATCATTTGTTTTGCTAAAATCCTCAACAAGACCGCTAAAGTTTGGACAAATACTGCTCTTTGCTTTACAGCAGCCAATATGGGGCATTGTACAAATAGAACCAGCTTCACCTTTTGCAGCATCCAATATGGGACACCATACAAATAGAGCCAGCTAAAAATATATCTGTTGTAGTGCTGTACTTTCAAGCGGTTAACATTTTTTTTATTTTTTCCTTCAATATCTCAGTTTCCTTCAGTAGTCTGAGTTATCATAAATGCCTACATAAATTAAATTTGTTCTCCTTAGAGAAGAGACGCTTAAGAGATTACATAATTGCAGTTTACAAACTCATCAATGGGGACAACAGTATTTGCAATTCACTACTTAAACCAAGAACCCTGAGGAAGATGTGAGGGCAGAACAAGAAGTTGGATGTGGTATACAGCGCCGGCTTTCCTCTCTCTGCTGCCCCAATGCCAGGTTCCTCAATGCGCCCCCCTGTATGCAGGGTGCATACAAGTGATCTCGGCGACAATGCCAAGATCACTTGTACAAAACAAGCGGCGGCTTCCCCGCTGTACATTTAGCCCTGCTTGCCCAAAGCAAGGCTAAATGCAGAAAACAACTACCCGCCCAGTGCCCAGAACTGCATGTCCTGGGTGTCGGGGATAGGAATTCCACACCCCTGCTGCCCCTCTACTCCCTGCTGCCCCAAGGCCGGGCCTCAGTTGGCCTTGTGGGAAATCCGGCCCTAGTGGTATACCTTTTTGATGTTAAGCTTGATTAAAGGACCCTGCACGGTCCTGAAAGCGCTTGCTTCCAATTGACAATTGTTCAAATAAAATGAACTTTTGGTGATCCTGAAAGGATTTTCTTTGTGCTGGTGACATTCTTCTCAACAAAACCTATGTGATTAGCGGCGCCATCATACGGATAATAATACTTTTAAAAAAAGCAGGCCCGGCTGCTATATATAGCTGATCCCTGGTACTGTTCCCTACTGATCCAGCAATGCAGCACCACTCCACTTCCTATGAGCTTAGGGTATTAAATGCAATCAAACATAACTTGCTAAAGACAAATACCCTGTTTAAAAATCTAACAAATTCACCTACCCACTCAATAAAAGATAATGAATTAGAAACTCTGGCAGTAGAGAGCTGCAATGGCTGATGATAGGTGTAGGAGATGCTTCCAATAAATTCCTTCTAGCTGGATTTTTACAACCCCCAGGGAAAAAAATGTATCGACTCTTGCAGTGGGGCTACCTCCGCACTGCAGGGGCTAAGTGCTGGTTTTTGCCTAGGGTGAAAAATAACAGTTATACTCACCCGTTCCTCGGAGATGGCCGGCTGTGACATCACTCTCTCCTGCCTATTTCCTTCTCTGCTGCAGCGATGTTATGCCCCTTGGTGTCCTGTGTATAGAATGTGATGACTCAGGACCTTAGACCACTGCAATGGAGGGGGAGAGAGGCTCTAGGGACCGGTCTAGGAGCAAGCTGGCTCGGAGGATCGGGTGAATATAACTTTTGTTATTTTTGACCCTAGACAAAAACCAGCACTTAACCGTTGCAGTGCGGGGGGAGCCCCACTGCAAGGGTTAATAAAATGTTTAAGAAATATAAATGGATGTAAACAGAAATGTTTACCTTGCATTCTGCTTTAAATAAATAAGTAAAATGATCTTGTCCCCTTCTCCTGACCATCAGCTGATTGTTTATAAAAAATACATAATTGACATCATCATCCCCACTGTTTTTGGCCATAGCACCCATTTTCTCTTTCTTATTTATCTGGCTTTTGTCTGAGTAAAAAAGGACACATGGGCACTAGAAAAAAAACTAGTGAGTTAACTAACCTTAATGCTGAAAATATGCTATTTGCTAACCAATAAAATATAAAATGTTGGTAGACAAAAGTACATTTATTCAAATATATACATTAGACCTAAAAGGCTACAACTGACGAGACACATAGATTTGGGTCCTACACAGGGAAAGTTTGGGGCTATAAAAATGTACAGTGTCTGTCTGATACACATATGTGTGGAAGTTTAAATAGCCCTGTTATACATAGACCAGATCATGAATTAGGTATTTTAAATACTGCGGTTTTGTGTTTTTTTTTGTGTTTTATTTAATTTAGGTAGACAATGTGGTAATCCCGGGGAAGTAGAAAATGCAGACATGGAAGCTGAGAACTTTCTTTTTGGCTCTAAAGTAACATATACTTGTAATGCAGGGTAAGATTTATATTCATAATCAGTATAACAAAATGATGTAAATATCCTGCAGATGTTTATTAATGTTGCTTCAATTCAGCAAGCAGTAAGCAGATTAGAAAAGTCTTCCCTCAAAAAAACAAAACACTTTTATGGTAGAGGAGTCTACAGGCGATATTAGTAGACTCTTCTCTGCTTCAATGCTTAAATGAGCAAAAATACACTTTTTCTACCATGTACAGCTTAAAAAAGACAAGACTCATTAAGGCCCCTTTCGCATGGGTGCTCCTGTTCGGTCTCAGCAGGGGATATAGACTGATTCCCTGTTGCGTCGGATCAGAACAGAAACTGTCACATCCATGTAATTCGGACCCCTGAAATCCTTATGGGCAGCCAGATGTAAACATATGTGCATCTGTTGATATCTGCTGACATCTGTATAGGTCCACGAAAGCGGACCTGGATTCAAGCTTATTTCATTTGGTTTGATGAACCTGAACAGACCCGGATATAAATGGATGTAAACAAATTTAAACAGGAGCTCAGGATCTGTCCCTAGGTATACATTGCAATCCATTTTTGATCCATCAAATCATGGGTAAAAAGATGACTGATGTACACCTGTGTGACAGGAACCTTAAGAACATTTCTAAATAAGAATGTACTCTGAAAAGAATAGCTGTTTAGTGTAAGGTTACCAGATTTTCAAAAAACAATCTGGGGACATCATACTGAACACAACTACTTTTAACTATACCCGAAACATACACCATTTGTAGCCACACCTACAAGCTACAACCTTCATTTTTAAAACACCCTCAAACAATTGGTCAGATTTTTGGAACAAGAGGCATTTGAGATATAAAAACATAATAAACAGATTTAAAATAAGAGGTAAGATATGCATGCATTATAAGAAGGGATGCCTTGAAGGTATTAAGATATTGAGAAAAATGCGGTCCTGCCTGCTGAACACCCGTTGGCATAGCTAATAAAGTTAGTGTCACTTCACACTGTATGTCTTGTACACGATACAAACCCTACACAAGATCACCAGGGTGCAGCAAACTTTTTTAGGAGATAAGTTCGCAAAGACCTAATGAAAAGTAATGAAGGTTTAGTCAGGTCAGTAGTATATAACGCAGCATTCAGAGATCAGTAGTAGGTAATGGAGAGTTCAAGGTCATTAGTATATAACGCAGAGTTCAGGGGACATTAGTAAGTAATGCAGGGTTCAGAGCTCAGTAGTAAGCAATGCAGGATTCAGAGCTCAGTAGTAAGTAATGCAGGATTCAGAGCTCAGTAGTAAGTAATGCAGGGTTCAGAGCAAAGTAGTAAGCAGGGTTTAGAAATCCATAGTAAGGTAGAGTTCAGGGGTCAGTAGTTAATAATGCAGAGTGCAGGAAATAGTAATAAATATTGCAGAGTTCAGGGGTCAATAGTAAATAATGCAGGGTAAAGGGATCAGTAGTAAGCAACTCAGAGTTCAGGGGACAGTAGTAAGTAAAGCAGAGCACATGGGACAGTAGTAAGTAATGCAGAGTGCAGGGGTCAGGAGTAAGTAACAGAGTTCATAGGACAGCAGTAAGTAACACAGAGTGCAAGGGTCAACGGGTAAGTAACACAAAGTGCAGGGCACAGCAGTAAGTAACGCAGGGTTCAAGGGTCAGGAGTAAGTAACGCAGAGTTCAGGGGTCAGAAGTTATGCAGAATTCAGGGGTCAGAGTATATAAATGCTTAAACATAACATGCTCTGGGATTGCCTAAAACTTGCTAATCCTTTAAAAGTGGCATTTTTCACAAACAGTGTCATTAAAAAGGCAACTATGGGGTAAGTGTGTTCCCCTATATTTCTCTTTAGGGTCACGGGAGGACATATACTAACCTCCTCCCGTAACCCAGTATATAGCGGACTATACAGAGAGTGCCGCAGCCAGGACGGATCCCGACAATACTATCTGGATCCACCCAGCTGCGTGAGTGAAGCACGATCTAGAGGCAGAGCCAGCTGTGTCTGCCCCCTCCACATCCGTTCCTCCAGTCAGCGCTGGGGGGGGGGGGATCCCTGCGGGGAGCGGTGGCTGACAGTCACTGCTCTCTGCAGGGAGAAGATCGGAAAGTGAGCAAACGACAGTATGCATTCGCTCACTTCCCGATCAATAGAGCCGACCTGTGATAGCTTCTTTGTCACGTCGGCTGGAAATCACTCACCTTATAGCTCTCCTTTAAGTGGTGGTAGCACTACTGCCACAAAATGTCAGATACCTACAGTGTCCAACTTCTGTTTGTAAACAAACCAGGGAATTAATTATTTAGCAGCAAAATGACAGATTTCCCCCCTTCTCCCAGGCTTCTGTTTGTAAACAAAGAGGTTGGTGATCCTGGGTGATGTGCTAGATCATATTTGGTCAATGACCTCACCCATAATCCCTGGTTCCTTTATTTACATACAGAGGGAAATCTGTAATTTGTGACGCGACTGGCAGCAGATGAATATTGACGGGAGCATTAGGTTGCCATGCTGGTACATTATTGTGAAATGCACTAACAAACCAGCCAGGGATTTTTCATTTTGGGGCGGTAACACTACCACCGCACTAATACTAGTTCTACCATAGTAGACAGAATGACACAATGCTACCGCAGTAGATAGAATGGCAAATCCCTGACCAGTCTTAACAACTATGTAACTATATCTTAGTAACTCACACACAACCACATAGGTTGAACTCGATGGACCTGTGTCTTTAATCAACCATAACTTTTATTTAACTACTATGTAACTATGTAAGTTCCCATTCGTAAACAGATTGGGATTGTGGGTAACATCATTTACCATATACACTGAGTGGCCAGATTATTATGACCACCTGACTTTTGTAGGCAAATTAGCTATAATTATCTATAATTTCGCGCTGCAGTTGCTAGAGGGCCAGACCATTATAAATAGGGAAGCAGATTGTTTACCACGACAGTAGAAGTGATTTTTTCTGAAGATATGGGTAAACAACGCAATTTAACAGCCTTTGAACATGGGATGATTGTTGGCGCTCGGAGCCATGGAGCGAGTATGAGCAAAACAGCAGAATTTGTTAAATGTTCAAGAGCAGTTGTTGTTAAAGTGTTCAAAGACTGGACTGTCAGCCGAAAACCTGGGTCTGAACATGCGAATTGTGGCCGTCAGCGACTAGTCAATGTTACGGCAGCACGGAGAGTGGCAAGACTGGTACAAGACAACAGAAGGGCAACAGTGCAGTGTCAGATTCCTCAAATCACCTTTCAACATCTCGGGGAGTCACGAGGCGGCCCAACGAAGTCATCTCGTGGAGTCATCTCGTGGCCCAACGAAGTACTGATGGGGTGGTCATAATAATCTGGCCACTCAGTGTATAGTCATGACCCTTCCCCCTTGCAAGACACCTTGTGGGGCAGCAATAGCAAGAGCCTCATCCCCACAACCTGTCCCCAAAAAGGGATGTGGGTGTCTGCAGGGGATACTTATCAGAATCTGGATCAGAAGCTCTCTTCAGAATGAGGGTGCCACAGGATATTCACCCATTTCCCGGGGTAATGCATATACAAGATACTGTAAATAGTATCTTTGCTACCCATTAATAGTTAAAAGAGAAAAAGTAAGAAGAAACACCCACACTGTGAAAAAAGTCCTTTATTTGAAAGAAAAAAAAAAAGAAAAAACACAGCCCCCTATGTAAAACCAGCAGCAATCATGTTATCCAGCAATGTAAAATCATGTCAATCACAATGACCTTCTAACACGATGACCCACCATGCCTGATTATATTTACTGCTACTCCCGTCACAAATAACAGATAACAGGTTGGCTGCTGTATGTCAAAAAAATGGACGAGGATGTTGGGTGACTTCGTTGACCTAATATGATCATGACCATATTTGACATACTTGCTGTTTGTTCACATACAGAAGCCGACCGGGGAACTGTAATTTTAAAACAGTAAAGCTGCTGTCATAAAATTATAGACATCTGGTTGATGTTTCTTTACAAACATTAGCCAGGGGTTCAGGAGGACCAGCTGGCAGAATATGGCCAGTTTTTTCACCTGCTTACTGAACTGTGAACACACTGGGTTCAGATCAAACTCATGTTTAACTTGCTCCGAAGCGTATCCCTACAGGTCAGAATGTGAAGCTCCCTGTGACTTCATTGAAGAACAAGGCACAGATCTAGAGATTTTAGGCAGTGCTCCCTGGAAAATGTAAATTAATATTGTAAGTTCTTTAAAATGAAGTACTGAAATAAGAAAAATTACTTCTATAAAAATGACTTGTGTTTACTGCACATGGTAGTCACTTACAAAAGTTTTTTTTTTTCAGGGAACCGAATTGAAAAGTTCGAAAATTACACTCTACTAATTTTTGTTTTTACATCATGCAGATACAGGATGATAGGAAGGAGGAACTACAGAGAATGCCAAGCAGATGGCACTTGGAGTAACGCGCTCCCTATATGTGAAGGTAATTTAAAATATAAATGTAGGAATTGTATTCATATTAAGTATTTCAACCTTTTAATGTTTTATGTGTGTAGAGCAACCTCCCATTTGTATACATTGTCAATGGAACAGTTCTGAATGTCTACTCCAGGGAGCAGAGTTTTCCAAGAATAAGAATAGATTACAAAAAGAGAGTGAATAGACATAATTTGGGGATTCAGGTTTGATTTATCATAAGATTTGAATCCGATGGCAGGTTGAAAAATTGATGTGACCCTTCGGGAGCTAGTGGCTTCCCCTTGCATACTTGGTGGTTGTGCCAATTGAAACATTTCCTCTTCTCATGGCTGCCCAGAGATTGGCCTCTGGCTTCTCCGACCTAGTTTGATCATTTGTGAACACAAACTGAACCAGTACGACATTCCTTCTCTCTGATTTATAAGTCCTTGATTCAGCAGGAGGAGGGGTTCCTTCCCTTATTTTTCTTGAAGTGGGAGCAAGATCTGCACCTTACTCTCTTGGCTGATCAACGGAGTGATGTGCTGTACTTCTCTCCTTTATGCTTTGGTAGCCAGTAGGATACAAGAAAACAATTATTAACTCCTTTCCTGCTGGCATACGGTACCCCAGTTTTAAGACTGGATCCACTAGGAACCTTACAGTTGAGTCATTGGTTTGTTATCCTGGTTATATGATTTCTTCCCTTGCTTTCATCTTTGAAAACATGTGTTAAAATTGATCTGTATGACTTTATCAAATGAGATTAATAAATGTCTAGTCATATTACTTGTTACTACTTAGTATAATGGTCTTAACCTGTTATGTACACAATATGTGAAACAGTTTACCTCATAAGATAAAAGTAAGTTTGATAAAGTATGGCAGCTCTGGTTTTATCACTTGAATACAATGTAACACAATGTAATCCAATTGCAACACAATGTCATTTTTTTAAGGGTGCCCACTATGTCGAGGTTGCCATGTATGCATAGTTTTTTTTAATGCCTATGTAATAATTTAGATGAGTGCTAATGCATTCATCTTTGAACATGACTGAACAATAGACATGTAAATTTATTTTCCTTCCAAATGGATATTCGTACGAATTTCGTGAAAGTAGGACATTTAAAAACATCCAAATTTTCCAAATTCTAACGTGTTAGAATGCGCATAAATCTGAATTCCGAAATCCAAATTTCGTTCAAAGGGAAACTAATGCGGACATGTTTTCTGGCCAATCAGATGGTTTTTTTTGTCTGTTGGGGGTTGCATTACAGGTACACTCATGTGACTGTTTCGAAAACGATCCAAAATCCGAATAAGGAACCGAATAAGATTTTGGATCTGAAATCAAAAAGAAAGACAGAAATACCTGAATGGGTTCAAAACGAAGCAATTTGTTTGTGGGTTTACATGTCCGCTGAACAATTAATTTGTTGTGTATACCTTTAGTTTGGATATAGGATAAATTCTCTATGTAGATGTCAGTTTTCAAGTGTGTATTTCTATCTGATAACTATATCACTTTTATGGCCCCTTTCTGGGGAGTAGCATAGTTGTATTATGCTGCTTTTCTACCCCAATTAACCGTTTTAAAGCAAAAATAGTTGGGGACTACTAACTGTTAAGGTAACAAACACTTGTATCAAGAGTACATAATGCAGAGTGTAGCTTACAGATGCACCGATCAGAACTATGTAATGTATGATATAGATGCCTCCCGCCATGTTTGTACGGATCTATCACCTTCTGACTGGAGATGAGCAGGGTGATTTGATTTAGACTAATACCATGCTGACTGCTTTAGTGAAATTTGCTTTAACAAATACATGGCTTGGTTTACCACTTTTTTGTTAACTTGAATGAAGGTTAGGATTTGGATTCCCCTTTTCAATATATACCATCAAATTCTCAGCTAACGAGGGGCTAATGTTTTGGCATAAGAGCAGGTCCGGGATGTTAGGAGTTTCCCTAACCATCAGGAGCAATTTTAAACCCATTGCATTCTTTAAAACAACCATACGGTAGTTTTTTTCCCAAAAACGTCAAAGCGTTTTAGCAAAACTTTGGAAAATGAAAAACTCTTAATTGCACTAAACCCTAATTCTGACAGATGTGATTTGAATGAATAGCTACTTCACACAATATTCTTAGCTTTTTTTATGCAATCAGTTTCATACACCCATGGGATGGTCAAACATTTCGCTAGCGGGGAGGGAACAAAGCCACCTGCTTATTCTCACCCTGGCTAGTGCTGATAGGAATATATAGGTGATTGCTAATGTCCTCTCTTTACAAATATACTAGCTATATACAGTATGTTGTGATACAACAACTTCAACCTCTCCTGTCAATGACCTGGGTGTAATATGCAGATCAAGAGTTCCTGTTTCACTAGCCATATACTTATCCTGGACAGTGATTCAGATACTAGAGGCTAGGCATTGTAATCGAGCAGATAACTTTGTTCAGAATGATGCCAGCAATCATAAACTGCAATGATAGAGTTTCAGTACAGGTTCCTTTTAAGCTTTCTTTCAAACTATAAGGGAAAAGATCAAATGATCACTTGCCTGTAGTAAAAATATGTTTATTTCTACTCATCATATATACTGGAAATGTCAGAGAGAACAGAGTATATTGTAACCTATTTTAGTAACCTACTAGTGTTTCTAGTAATCCTTCCCTATTTTATCCAAAATTTCTGGCTTGTTATTACCATTAACTGTACTGTGTTTGGATTTATTTTACAGAAATATTAGTTTGAGATTTATTTCGCTCTAGATTAATGTATCAGGCATGGTAAATTGTTCATTTTTTTATCACCACAGTGTTTAATTCATTAGGAATTTGAAAATGTTTTAAGTAGAATGTACATTTTTAATACAGGTTCTTATTTGTTTGATTTCAGTTCAGTTATGCCCATCTCCACCAGAAATCACCGATGGTGAAATGTATCCTTTTAAAGAGGAATATACCTATCTTGACTCTGTAACATACTCCTGTAAAGGAAATTTGGCACTTATAGGTGAAAAGTCCATATCATGTAAGGAGGATGGACAATGGAGTTCAGAGGCCCCTAAGTGCAAAGGTTAGAGATATACATATCTATGTATTGTAAAGTAATATTGCACAAATATCGAAAATGTCCTTACTTTTCCATTTGGAAAAAAAAAATCTGTCCTTGCACTGCAAATGTTAATTACTAATTTTGTCTAGGGGACCTTGGTAAAGCACTTTTACTTACCTGATCTCCCACTGGATCTAAAACCGGCACCCACAGCCTATTTCCCCCTCCTCTCTGGCTGTTGAAGGCCCACTAGTGTCATTAGATTTGATGCCCATAGCGAGGGGCAGTCCACAAGCTGGAGCAGAGGGCAAACAAGTGAGTGCCAACCGACAGGGGAACATGGATCAGGTACGTAAAAGTGTTTTACAGTACCATACCCCTAGACGAAAAAAGGAGTTAAGCTGTGCACTGCAGGAGTTGCCCCACTGCAAGGGAATTTTTGTTTTCTTTGTACATGGAGATAGAATTTAGGTGCTACTTACAGTTCATGCAGATGCAAATTATTTATGAGACAAAGGGAATGCTTTTTTCATGCAGTACCTTCAGTTTAAGGCTGGCCTCACACTATTGCGTTGCGGTAATGTTTGGTAAAATGTGTGTTTTACAATACGGTACTACAGCAAACAATAATGCACAGCACTCTGTGCATAGCAGTGGCATTTATTTGAAATGACATCCCAATGCAGCACAACAGTAGGTGCCCATGTACACACATTGCATTGCATCCATAATACATTCTGCCTCTGTTGCACTTGAATCCCAAGCAGCGTAGTCAGCCCTGCCTGAGTTGTCTACTGCTGGACTACATAACACAACTCCTCCTCATCTTCATAACATTCTGTAGTCCAGCAGGAAAAAAACTCAAGCAGGGCTTACAGCACTGCTTGGAATTTCAGTGCTGCTGGCGCAGCATTGTCAGCTCATTAGCGGAAGTCTCACTGGATTAATAGCAGACTCAATAGGGATTTTTAAAGAGAGAAAGCATGGGGTATGCATTGCAAAGGTATACTGCTTTTTTTTGTTTCTGCCCAGACAAACACTTTAGAATGTTACCAAGTCCATGACATATGCCACAACCCTGTAATTTTGGAGAGACAAGACTCGACTGGTTTTTCAAATTTGTTTGCTATTTATTCTCCATAAATACCAAGGAAATTAAATATATGTATCCACATTTTCTGTCAAATTAAAGCCATAACTGTACCACAAAAAAAACAAAAACAAATATACACTATAATATGTTAGGGTAGACTACAAAATAAGAAGATATTTTATGCAGAACTGACACATCACTGAAACAAAAAAAAAGGCTCTGGGGGATATAGAGAGAAAAAGGCATGGGGACACAAGTGGTTAAAAAAAGAATCACAATAATACACTTTGTAACCAATGCAAGAAAGATATCTGGAATATCAGGCCCATATAGTTTGAATTCTGTTGTGGTATTCATGTGCAATGCAGACTTTGTGATGAGGGGATCTGACAATATCAAATGTAATGAGTATAGTCATTGGGAACCCGAACCTCCAAAGTGTCTTGGTAAGTCAACTGATATATTTTTGCACAAAATCAAATACGATTTGCGTCTTAAAAGGAAAACTATGGTGCAATGTTTTTTTTTTCCATAGTTCTCCTCAGGGTCACGGGAGGACATATACTGTGTCCTCCCATGACCCAAAGCTCAGCATAGAGTAGGCTATTGCCTCACCTGTATGTGTTTACCATAATACACATTTAGCTATATGACCCTAAGTATATAATATAAAAAAAGTTTTTACTGCCAATTCAAAATAATATTTAGTTGCATGCATATTGACCAATATCTATTATAGTATATACTGAAGGAATACATTTTTTTATACATACAAGTGCAAAGCTAATTCACTATTATTATTATAATACAGGATTTATATAGCGCCAACAATTTGCTCAGCGCTTTACAAAATAGTGGAGACAGTACAGTTACAATACAGTTTCAGAACAATAGGGTTAGTGCACTGTATAGCTACATACCATACCATACACTGTGAAGCCATAAGCTCTTTACTGAGCACACACACACTTTTGACACACCCTTATATGTATGACTGGCATTGCATATTGCACCTTTCAGCTGTCTCACCTATATATGTTCAAATGTTGCCAACTGTGTGAATTTTGAATTGACTGAACTAGATTTACCAGCTTGACCCTCATCTCTACAAAACCTCGCTCTATATAAACTCTAAAACGTTTCTGTAAAATACAACCTCCAGGCAGAAAACAATTAGTCCCAACAATGTGTTAATTGCAATTACCATCTGTAACTTTAAGTAGTTTCTTAATTACCTTAATTACTTGAAGACCGCGGTGTTAAAGCCTACTTCCAGTCCAGGCCACTTTTCAGTATACATCATTTAGGTACTTTGAATGAAATTTATTTAGTCATACAATGCCATACTGAAATTAATTTTATATCTTTTTGGGGGACAGATAGAGCTTTCTTTTGGTGGTATTTTTTTACTATATAAAGAAAAAAATACAGAAATGATGAAAAAAAACCTGTTTCCCTACGTCATGTTATAAAACATTTCTTATTACCTAATTTTTGGTAAAATATAAAAGTTTGGGTCACGTTGGATAAATAGACACCAAATATGTCAAGCCTTAAAATTGCGTGCGCCCGTGAAATCGCAAAAACTGCCATACCCAAATTTGATTATAAGCAATGCTTTAAAAACTGTAACCGCTCATTAATTTAGTGTTAACGGTAATTGATGGCCCTAGAATTATTGCTCACACTCTGGCCTTTGCGGTGATATGTAACATGTGTGGTGTAATCATTGTTTTTGCACGTAGGCGCACCCAACGCGTATTTAGGTTTGTATGTGAGTGTACATGGGGGCCGGGGACTTAAACATATTTTTTTTGTGTTTTTTACATTTCTTTTTATATGTGACTTTAAATTTGTTCAACTTTTTTTACACTTAACTTTATTGCTATTACATAGGGGGGTAAGAAGCCCCCTATGTGATAGCAAATATATAGTGACATGTCCCCTTTATGGAGACATTTGGTTATGTTGTCCAGAAAAGTGTATGATGGGAGGTATGCAACTCCACAGTTTCTTAAATATTAATTTAAAGTGAGGCCAGCTAATCACTGTGGTGAAGAATCTTAGATCTTTGCCTTTTATTTACAAAATGTGCACTGGGGCTGGTTTCTCTTGTAATCCCCACTATAGCAGGGAGGTGTGGATATCTAGTCCCATGGACCATGTTTGGTTTTTGCCCTAACAAATCTGCTGAAACATGGGGGGTGATTTACTAACCTAAACACACGCACGCACCAGGTGCGTGTGATTTTTACACAGCAAAGCATATTTATCAACCAAGAAGTCTCTATAAGCATATTTCCACTAATGCCATATATGGAAAAATCATGCACATGATGCATATATAATGCTGCTTCACAGTTTAGACAAAAATGGTTAGCTCATGCATTTACATTCCTGCATTCATCAACGCAAGCAACACAACATAGAGCTAATTTACACAACATCACCTTGCAATTCAGGGCAGGGCTTTGCACAACACACCTGCTGGGTGTGTACACACTACAAAGGTGTTTAGATTCCACCCATAGATCATGCTGGGAGGGAACACACTACAGAGGTGTATACATGTTCGTGGTGTGTTTATAAGGTTAGTAAATCAACCCCATGGTCTAAGTAAGTCTCAGTTGATGATTAAACTTTATTGTACATGGAGAGATGCATTATCACTGGCACCAAATAGCAGAACAAGGAAGGAGACAGATCCTAAAAACGCATTGAAGAAGATGGCAGTGACAGGCAACACAAAGCTGTCATTGTTGGGGGAGGACAAACTCAGAAGAACATTTGCCATAATGTGCAAGTATGCTGTGCATATTAGTGCTCCCATGACCACCCAGTCTAATTTCCACTTTAAGTGCACATATTTATTGGGGTTTAGTATTTGTTTTGGTATTGGTCTCTTAATTTAAATTACAAATTAAAGACCTTTCCAATCATGTAATGAACAAAAGTTTTTTGTTGTTGGGGATGGAAATTTGATTTTATGGATATGTCATGATTTTGAGAAATTAGCTTTTGAAAATGTAAAACATCTTTTGTTTTCATATCGGAATATTTATTTATATTGCTGCTAATTTCATTTGTAAAGCAGGATTTGAATTTTAGTTATATCAGTATAACATAATTTTTTGACATAAACACTTTAGTGTTCTTATATTGTTTTTAAAGTATTTTGCTGTCTAAAAGCCTTCTAAATTTCTCTCACTTTAGTGAGAGAAAAATTGGTTAACTAAAAATTGGTTTTCTTTCAGGTGTTTGCAAGAATCTTCCATCTATCAGTTTTGCAGAGCTGGTAGAACCGCCTGTAGATAATTACTTTGTGGAAGGCACATCACTCAAGTTCAAGTGCAAGGAAGGCTTTGATCCTGTACCTGGTGAAAATAATGTTTTGACTTGCCAGGGAACAAGATGGTCTCAATATCCTAAGTTTTGTACACGTATGTATTTGTGATATGATTATTAATTTTGTAGAATACTTAGCACTTAGCCCTCAGTGTGTGAATGCATAACAATCCAGTAGCCAGAATCTGTGCCCTTCCATTGCACACTTTTGTAAGCCATGTATCTCTAAATTTCAAAAGCAATATTAATTTTGCTAGGTGAACAACTTATGTTCTTTTTAGTAATTCAACATCATTGAGTCTCCAGTTCCAGAATTTAGATGTCTTCATTCCAAAAGTGTACAGACCAAACAGATAGGGCATTCAGCAGAGGAAAGTCTTAATGTCCCACCTCTTTTAAATAATCGGACAACAAGAGCAATTGATATTGGTACCCCCAGCCTAAATGGCCAGGAGGGTGCTTTAAAACACAAAGTAGACCTTCACATTAAAAAAGGTAGCTTATTATTTACATCAAAGACATAATAAAAAAAAATCTCAATTTAAGAACAATTCATAGGCGCTGGTCAGAGTCCATACATAATTTGCA